CCCCAAAACCCCAAAACCCCAAAACCCCAAAACCCCAAAACCCCAATGAGGTGTTGACAGATTGAAACTTTCTTATTCAGCTGTAAACCACTTTCTAAAAATCAATCCTAAATATTCCTAAGACACCAATCTCCTTACTACACCTCCTTCCCATAATTCTAATCCACTATCAATATATACCCAATTCCACCCAATTCTGCCAGATCAGAAGGATCGTTGAACATGCCATAACACACAAAACAATTATTCCCAACCTCCCAATACCTGTCAACACAACATACATCCCCTCCATAAATCTAACACTTTCTAAAGCAGCGCTCCCCCAAAATCCCACCCCCTCACACTTGAGTCCCTATCCCCACAGCCCCAACGCTTCATCCCCAGCCAACTATTCTACCTAAAACCCCGCTTATCTCATCCAAATCTCTTCTATCCGCTCCTAAAATCCCACTTTTTGGAACTTCTTCAGTCAAAAATTTCCTATTCTCTTCCTGCATCTTGCCCAGTGATTGGTTCTTGGAGCTTAATGGGAGGATGAGTTTTGAGAATGAAGGTTAGCTTGAGGATTGTTTTTAGGGATTTTGAGGGGATTTTGGGGGGATTTTGGGGGGATTTTGGGGGGTTTGGAGGGGGGACAGAGCGCGTTGGGATAGATTTTAGAACGAGGTTTAAGGTACTGGAGGGCAGATTAATTTAATTAGTGCTGAGAAGAGACTCTTGGTTATAATATAGCATCCTCCAGGGTCTCTGTAATTTTTTATTTTATGGTCTGATCTTCTGCGTCTGTTGCATTGATTAGAATTCGAATTGATGCTTATCCTTAAAAATAAAATTTATCCTCTTAAAAAATTATCAGCTTGGCAATCTCCAAGGCTCCAGATCATCCTACTAGTCAAGACTGGGCTGTGTAAAAGAAATTTTCTGAAAATAAAGAGAAAGGATTTTTTGAAAAAGTATCAACAGAGCATTGTAATGACTTAAGCAAGAAAGAAAATTGGAGATTCATTAAACACTTCCAGACATTAACTTGGTTATTAAGTATATTAAGGAATCAAAAATTGTCAGGAAATTTGAGAAATTATTATATAAATCTAATAATTATTCGTCAGGTAACATCTCCAAAATTTGATTCATGAAAATTTCCAAACAAATAATACCAATAAACCTCAGTAAACTTCATAACCTCTATTTCCTGCCCCAAATTTAAAGACACCTAAATCATCTTCTTCTAAATCCTCTGATAGCGCTTCCCTTACTGGAAGGTCTCCATGACTCATTTCCTGATTTTTGTTGTTGCTAAATTGGGCCATATCTCAACGAACTAAAAGACTGTTTCCTACATATAAAATTGATTCTGGCTAAATAATATATGAAATCATTTATAAATTACGTCAAATACTTTCTAGAATGCTCTAGAGTTGTACATTAGGAAGGTATCAGCAAACTCAAGACCAGAGTACTAAAAATTCAACAAATAATTCTAAATTTTCTACAGAAATTCTTCCTGATCGATTTTATACAAAATAATAAGCATATTCGAGAAAATGGAATGGTAGAGGGCAGAATCTTATGAATGAGGTTCTTCAAAAATAATAATATTCACATACTTTTGTGTCATTAGAAATCACCCTGAATTATGCAAACCCATCGACTATTTCACAGCAAATTTTAAGACAAAATACTGTTTTTTAATTTAATTTATCAACAAGATAGATTTCCAACTATCTTCCCCCAGCTTCTTATTTTCAACTCTAAAAATATACACATTTCGGTGACAATTGTTATAAATGACTTATAAAGCTAGGGATAGGTTTTACACAATTTCTAAACACACGGAAGAGTGGTTAAGAACTGTAAGATAGAACTAGTGGAATTACTTAGGAGGGCTTAACCCAGATCGTTTTATAGAGTGTTTGAGAATAATTTTAGTATTTGTAATTTTAAAAGAGATGTCAAATTTTGGCATCTCCTTCAATAATTACTAGTAGTTATTATTTTTCACAGGAAATTAGTTTGAGAATTTGGAATTAGGAAATAACCTGAAAAGTAGAAGCGTTAGGAATAACACAAGTATATCCTCCCTGAAGAGAAATTTTACATCTTTCTTTAGATCAATATTTTAGTTTAAAATTTAATTTAATTTAACACAAAATTTCTCAGTCTCAATTTTAGGTAAAGCCGATTGAATAAGGCTAAACTCATCGTTGATTGATTTTGAAGAACTTCCATTGCTATAAAAAGATGTTTGACTTTGTTATTAAATAAAATACACAAAAAGTGCAAAATGTATAACTTGTACTACCAAGCTTATGCTTACCTTTGGAAATCGGTTGCTTTCTGACGAAGAATAACAGGGGAGCAAAATCTGCCATTCACAATCTTATTTTGCTCAAGCTTTCTGCTAATACGATAAGCCATCTTCTTATAAAATTCAATCGTTGAGAGCTCAATTTGCTTCTTTTTCTCAGACTCATTAGTTCTGGGTCTCTTTGCAGAGAAGACTCTTCTCTTTTCATCCCTCCTTGATTTAATAGAAGGAGTCAGGATCTGTTTGGCTTTACTTTTGGGAGAAATAAGTGATTTAATAATATTTGTGAAATCTCCAACATTCTTCATCTAAATATAAAGTCAGTACATATCAAAGATGAACTTATATTTAAAAAGATCTAGCTTACCTTATTCTTACACCTAACGATCTTCCTCAGCTTCATGTTCATCTTAAAGTATTCATTTTCTCTGGTAAGGCTTAGCACATTCCTAGAAACGATTAGACAACTATTTAAAAAAATCAGGTTTATGATAAAACACTGCAGGATTCCAAATAGGAGTAATTCCTACCTCTTACTGATTTTCTTAGATCTGTTCACTTTTGATCTCAAATTTGGTCTGATCCTTTGAGTCAATTTAGACTGCTCCCTCTAAAGAAATGGTTGAGAATTTTTCAATAAGGCAGAGAATAGAGAAATGGAATATTTAGGTGTAAACTTACATTTACTGCTCTTTTTGGTAGTACTTTTAATTCCATTTAGTTTTAATTAATATAAAACCTAGCAGATTTTATAGTGCGGGGTTTTGGGGTTTTGGGGTTTTGGGG